GTGTGTGTGTGTGTGTGTGTGTGTGTGTGTGTGTGTGTGTGTGTGTGCACATGTAGAGTACATGTGTGCAGCTCAAATCTTGGTTTTATGGGAAGCTGTAAAAAAAAAAAAAGAGCTGAGTTATCCTCAAAAATGACACAAGCTGTGACCTAATGCCACATCTAGAGAGCCACTATAGACAGAGAGGGATCTGCTACTGAATGAAGCCAGTTAAATATCAGCCTTTCAAATTAAAACCATATGAAAAGACCCTGATTTAAAGGATTTGATCCAGATTACACAGACACTATAAAATAAAACGACTCACGGCAATTAGATGTAATTGGAGACACTGTAGGGCAGGAACACTAATGAAAGGAGCACATCTCTGCATATGAGAAATCTACCTGATCCAAAAAAAACGCCAACTGATCTAGTCCTGCCTTAGGATGCATGTGTGCATTGTGCAGAGATTGGTCATTTACACAAGGGATCACATGCATACTAAGCTACAGTCCATACACACAGAGTAAGTATATATATACTGTACACAAATCTCCAGTAGCCTGTAATTTCCTGTCTGCACGTGTTGAAAAAGAAGCAGTACTTTGTGGGTACATCTTGACTGAGCTATATCTGTGGTTTCACACATCATGAAAAATGTTCTGCATGTGCAAATATGTGCAAACAGATACTTCAAGTTGCAAGATTTGGACCGTGCAGTAACGGCCCGTGTGAAAGAAATGACCACCTTATTCTTTTTCCCCAAAAGTCTTTTCTTTTACAGCAGTGCACCGCTCCAGAGGTATGTGGAAAGGGGTTCGTCCCAGGTGGTTGGCTGTGAATGCTCCCTGCAGAAGGAAATTTCCTTGACAAAGATTTTGGTGGTTTGTGCACAGTGCGTTCCAGCATAAATCGCTAGCTAATATGTCTCTGATGGCTGCTTTGGGGGGGCCACAAAAAGACGGCTATGCTGAGTTGGAAATTGTAAAATGTTTACCCTATTTGACAATGGCACAGCCAGATGTAAGATGAAATATGAAGACCATAAAGAGTGTGCAAGATTAACAGACGCTAACTTTACAAGCCGTGAAAACACAACACGAGGGACCGGGAGTGGAGTGAAGTGAAAGGAGCAGTGAACGGGACAAGAATGAAAAAGAAAAGAAAGAAAGAAGCCGGGGGAAGAAAATAGGAAGGGTGAAAACAGGAAGTTCGGTCACCAGCACATGACACTTAAACTCTGTTCTGTAAAGCCACTTTGACACATTCAAAAGAGCATTCACACACAATCAATCAGGCAGCCGGAGAAGCAACCACCGTTTTTTAAGGTCTCTAAAACATTGTGGTAATACAACAAACATGCTTCTCTGATGACAGTTTTGAAACTTTATGAAGCTCATTTTAACCTTCACTAATATAATTATAATGCCAATATGGTCTGTTAGATCTTACATACCTGTTAAAGAACGTATGTTGTTCTTCCTGTTGTACATTGGATGTGGTCAAATTCATCTGAATATACGTAAACACTGTGCTTCCTTCTTCTTCACTGTCATTCCTCTCACATAGTATGTCCAATATGATCCTACTCTTCGATTATGTTTTTTATTTTGTTGCCTTCTTGTCTTTTATTTTCATCAACTTGAATATCTGATTTCAGAAAGTGTCTCCTCGCGTTTTCTGTTAGATTTAACCACAAAAAACAATTATAAAAATATTTATTGTCATAATTGAAATGTTGTTATTTCACTTGTATGACACCACATAACACGAAGCCAATAACATTGTGTCACCGTATATTTACTGTAATAAGCACATTCATCTTAAATCAATTCTTTAACGTGTAGAAAGTAAAGAAAACACCACAAATCCGAGCAACCACAACTCAATAGGACTCTCTCCAGATGTCACATAGCGTGAGCCATACCACTTTACACAAACTCTGCAATAAAGCCAAGAGCTGTGCACCATTTAGGGCGGTTCTAATAAGTGTATTTATTCACCAGGCGATCTGCAGCCAACACAACCTTCCAGGTTGCCCTGATGTGGTCGGTGGAGCTGCAGACCAGTAGTCATGACATTTCTCATTACAGGACCGCCAACGTGCACATCCTCCTCCCCCTCCTCCTCCTTCACATTCTGCGTTGACCACATTTTGAATACACCAAACTTAAGGACTA